AAGATCCAAAGGTCACTTCATTTTTCCAAAGAATGTGCAGGAAATAAGCACTGTCGCCTGTTTTACGTTTATTTCGTATCGAGCGACTCGCTTCCAATTGTTCCTCGTGATAAACATGCTGACTTGGGCAATAGGAAAATGGGAGAGAGGGAGAGAAGGAAGAGGCAAGGGAATACTGGCTCTTTGGGATCGTCCCCGGTACTTTCAGCAGAGGCAGTGGTGGGATTCAGCCGATTCGCACCACTTTGGCAGAACCGGTAGCTAATATTTTGTTGCCCAGGCCCAGAATGGACTTCCAGAAGTGGCATCCACACAGAAAACCGGTTGTTCACATATTTTTAATAATAATAATAATAATAATAATAATAATAATAATAATAATAATAATAATAATAATAATAATAATAATAATAATAATAATAATAATAAAGTTGGAAGGGACCTTGGAGGTCATCTAGTCCAACCCCCTGCTCAGGCAGGAAACCCTACACCATTTCTGACAGATGGCTGTCCAGTCTCTTCTTAAAAACTTCCAGTGTCGGAGCATTCACCGCTTCTGGAGGCAGGTTGTTCCACTGGTTAATTGCTCTAACTGTCAGGAAGTTTCTCCTTAGTTCTAGGTTGCTTCTCTCCTTGATTAGTTTCCATCCGTTGCTTCTTGTCCTGCCTTCAGGTGCTTTGGAGAACAGCTTGACTCCCTCTTCTTTGGGGCAGCCCTTGAGATATTGGAACACTGCTATCATGTCCCCCCTCGTCCTTCTCTTTGTTAAACTAGACATACCCAATTCCATCAACCTTTCCTTATATGTTTTAGCCTCCAGTCCCCTGATCATCTTTGTTGCTCTTCTCTGTACTCTTTCTAGAGTCTCAGCATCTTTTTTACATCGTGGTGACCAAAACTGGATGCAGTATTCCAAGTGTGGCCTTACCAAGGCATTGTAAAGTGGTATGAATACTTCGCGTGATCTTGATTCTATCCCTCTGTTAATGCAGCCCAGCACTGGGTTGGCTTTTTTGGCAGCTGCAGCACACGGCTGGCTCATATTTAAGTGATTGTCCACTTGGACTCCAAGATCCCTCTCACAGTTACTACTATTGCGCAAGGTACCCCCTATACTATATCTGTGCATTTGGTTTTTCTTGCCTAAATGTAGAACCTTACTTTTTTCACCACTGAGCAGAAGTCACAAATCACCTTAATTGCACAAGTGGGCCAAGAATTCCACTGCAGGGAAGGTGGCAAGGCCTATGCAAGCCAGAAGAATATTTCATTTTTATATAAAACAAGCTCATACTAAGAATAAAAAAATAAAGGCGTGATATTAGGGCAAATGTTTGACACGCCCAGCGGACTGGGGCTGATATTGAAAAACTAAGCTGGGCTGATCCTAATTAGAACTGGATAAGAGACACAAGGAAAACTCAAGGATGTAGGCTAGTAATATATAATATAATTCCTCCATTTTCTTTCATTTATCCACAATCATATATTTTTGTTTGAGACATTTATATTCTAGTTGTTGGTTTTTTATAAAAGGGTCTCTTGAAGACATATAAATGTGTTTTTTAAAATTTCAAAATGTTAGAATTTTGACTATTCAGTCTATCAATATTTGTTGGAAATAATTTGACCCATAATATGTCCATCATTAGGTTAGTTTACGAAGAAAAAAACTACTTCCTAACCTGATTTTGACATTCTGGATCATTTTTAGCTTGTTCTGTTACTGTTAATGGCTCAATTATTTTATTGGCCTTCTCTGTTGGATATAGAAAGGATTTGCTTTCCAAACTATAATTGATCTTTCTTTTTTGGACACAAACCTCAAATCTCTGTTCTTTCTGAATGGATCCGAAAGAACATCTGTAAAATCTCAGTTGTTGTTTCTCCAACTTTTAAAGGAACAAATATTGGCTTTTTAAATTCCA